TTTTTTTTTGTTTTACACAAAAAGATTAAACACACATGACTTCTATGCCAAAGCCCCATGATTGACGCCATTACGAAGAAAAGCCAAAAGGTAGTAGTAAATAAGAGGGGATTGGGGATGAACAGAACCAAATAAAAAAAAACATCAACAAAAACTCATTCCACCATGATTTTTATACACATCAAATCATTTCTTCATTTTCGGTGTGTGCCGTGCGACATGACAAGAAGCCCTTTTTCGCTTCGTCTCCCGCTATCGCCCAAAGTAAGAATAAAAGGCGAGAGAGAGGGGGGGGGAAGAAAGCAAAAGAGCGAGACCAGACTGTAAACAAAACAAAACACGCATAACCCCTTTCCTTCCCCGGCCGCCCGATGCGCGTGTGCGTATTCGTCTTTGGTATATAAAAACAACAGCGAATTTGCCTCCATTTCCAAACATACACAACTTGATTTTTTTTCTTTTCTTCGTCTTTCTTTTCTTTTCTTGTCCCATTCGCGAAGAGGGGAAGAGCGTGGAAAGGAAGGAAAAGAAGTTTCAAAAAAACGGGAATAGAGCGGAGGGGAGGTTGACAGACTCCCAAACAAACAACATAAACAAACATAAAGTGATCCAATCCCATTTCCTCCACAGGTATATATGTATGTCCATTTCCGCATAACTGACTTGATTCGAAGCATTTTTCGTTTTCTTTTATTTCCCCGGTGCAAAAAGTATATAGCAGACATCCGACGGGCATCTTGGGAAACTCCAGTTGGAAAATAAAGTGAAAGGCGTCTATTTGGGTGGGGTAACATCGCGAGATAGAGAGTGAGAGAGACATGGGGGGCGTGACTGATGGAAAAAAAGTCGGACCTGGTTTTCAAAATAAACAGGAAGAAGTCGTTTCCAGAGAGATGAGATGCACATGGCAACTGTTGAAGACCAGTATTCTTGGTTGGCCAGATCCTTGACAGCGGTGTGTCGATTGACAATGTTTGATAATGCAACAACAAATGGGTTACGTGGTCAGTGACTACTTCTCAGTGAGCCAAAGATGTACCAGACTAAGGGTGCCCATGCGGTTTGCTTGAGCTTCCATCTTGGTGGGATCCATTCTGCGCTGTCGAGCGTCTCCTTCTCGCATTCTCGTCATCAGAGCTGGAATGACTACTGCTTCCATCCTCGAGACCAATGCTTCCATCCTTGGATTCCCGACGGAGCCTATCGGCCTTGTCTTTGAGGTATTGAGCCTGCTCGGCTGCTCGCTGAGCACGAATCTGCTTCTTCCACATGGCAGCGTAATGACCATTTCGGTCAAGGAGCTCCTCATGTGTTCCACGTTCTTGGACCTTGCCCTTGTGGAGAACAAGAATCTGGTCAGCGTGGGTAATGGTACTGAGACGATGAGCAATTATGAGCATTGTCCGGCCCTTTGCCAACGTTGTAAAGGCCTCTTGGATATGCTGCTCCGTTTCGGTATCAAGAGCCGCCGTTGCTTCATCAAGCATGATGATTCGCGGGTTCTTCAAGATGGTACGTGCAATGGCAACGCGTTGTTTCTCACCTCCTGACAGCCGCAGACCGCGGTCACCAACCTTGGTGTTGTATCTATCTGGGAAAGTCATGATTTTGTCGTGGATGCTTGCAGCCTTGCATGCCTCGTACACGTCCTCGTCTGTTGCCTCTGGGTTGGCATACTTGAGGTTATACATGAGGGTCTCGTTGAAAAGGACAGTATCTTGGGGCACGACACCGATATGGCTACGGACCGAATCGATGGTCAAATCTTCTACGTCATGTCCATCGACTTGGATGCTGCCAGACATGGTGTTGTAGAAACGGTATAGCAGACGGAACACGGTCGATTTACCACCGCCAGACTCACCGACAAACGCAGTCGTCGTACCGGGTTTGCAGTGGAAATCGAGACCGGTCAATGCGGGTTTACGCTGGTCGTAGGCAAAGTGTACATCCTGGAAGCGGAGGTTACCTTCGCAAGTCACCAAGGGTTGCGCGTTCTCCTTGTCGACTACAGTGGGCTGCTCCTTGAAGAGCTCAAGCATGCGCTCCGAATTGATCATAGCAGACTGGATCATCCTGTAGAAGGTACCGAAGAAGTTGAGGGGACTCTGCAGCTGGCCCATGTATGTGATGAGCGTGACAAACTTGCCAACCTCTAGATCGCCAATGGCAACTTGGTATGCTGCGATGAAGCAGGTTACGAGAAGTCCCACCATGAAGACCATATTTTGGGTAATGTTCATAATGTTCAGCGAGAGCATGACCTTGTACTCTGCATTTTGGTACTTCCTGACAGCTTCACGGTAACGGTTGAACTCGTAAGCTTCGGCGTTGAAATACTTGACCGTCTCATAGGATACCATTGAGTCATTTCTGTGGGGCGTCAGCTAAGGGGGAGCTAGAGAAATACCAAGACTACTCACTTGACTGCATCTTCCTCTCGGTCAGCATTGACCATTTCACGGCGGATTTCCGCGCGCCATTGGGCCATGCGAATCGTCAGGTAGATGTACCAAAAGGTAACAATGGCGATTACGAGGGCGTAGTAAGCATCGAATCGGACAAGGAAATAGGCGATGGCAACGGCCAGATCGATGAGCATGGGCACTACGGAGAAGGTGACTTGTTCAAGGAAGGTGTTGATGGAGCTGCCCTTTCCTAACGCGGACAGGACCTCACCGGTCTTCTTGCCGAGGTGGAAGTCAAGACTAAGGCTGTGCACGTGCTCAAATGCCGCAACGGACAATTCACGATACGAGTACTGCGAGACAGGAATCCACAATGCTGAGCGGGCTGCGCCGAGCAGGCCATTGCTTCCCTGCAAAAAGCGAAAAGCAATGTAGACCATGATGGCAGTCCATGGATTGCCCTTCTCGGGGTCCTTGAGGCGGTCGACGATTTCACCAGTCAAATCCGGGACAAGAACATTGACGACGCGCTGAGCCAGAACAAGCATAAAACAAGCAACAACGACGAGTTGCAGCTTGCCGTCCTTGGAAGGCCAGAGGTAGGGGAAAAACACGTGATAGCCCTTGATGTACTCCCACCAGCTGCGGGCAGGCGCACCCGTGGGTCTGCTCCAAGCGGGCGGTGCACCCTCGGTGTGCTGGTGTTTGCCACCGACTGGGTGGACGGTGCCGTAGGAACCATTGGTGTGACCATTTTCCGCATGACCATTCTGATCGGCGCCACCCAACAAGGACGTGCTCTCAGTCGGCGAAGCCGTATCTTGGTGCGCCTTTCGCTGGGGCATGACGACGAACATGACGTAGAATCCGATAAGGGAAAGCAACAAGAGAATGCGCAGCAGGTCCATGGCGACTTCGCCGGCCTCCCAGTCAGTCATTCCAAAGCGCAGGCGCTTCGGGGGCGGGCCTGCAGTGGGCTCCTTGTGGGGATGCGTATAGATGGCGAAGGAGAGAGCGACAAGGACGATTTCCAGTACTGTTGCTAGGACCCATGTTGCAAGATGGGCCTCTGTGGGCGAGGGCTTCGAGTCAACGAGGGAGATGAGGAACAGACAGTAGACGAAGAAGGAGCCCACGAGATAGATCTAGTAGAGTCAGGACGGGGACATTTTGAATTTTTTTTTTATTTTTTTTTTCCTTGGGGAGGAGGCATGATGGTTGGGGTGGTGGAGTTGCACATACCACGACGGCTTTGCCAGCCCACCAGTGCTGCTGTTTCTCGACCAGGGCATGGGCGACGACGAGGACGGAATTGCCGACAAAGGTAAAAGCAGTGGCGAGAGAGACCCATTCGAAAACTCTCTTTTGGGCGTGGGTGACATGGTCGTGGGCAGTCCTCTTGACAAAATTGCGGGTTGGGTCGGTGGCGGGCAGCGGCTTGCCTCCAGGGCCGGTTGTAGTAGGTTTGGCGATATTAGTATTAGACTTGGAGGCGGCGATGCTGCGGGTGGTGAAGGCGGCCAGAAAGAAAACAAGCATAACGATGGGGTAGGCATATTGCAGGATGGCCGTGACGGCGCGGACAGGGCGTGCATAGGCCCAACGGTCGTCGTCGAGGTCGTCAAAAGGCGAAGGGTCGGCGGCGTGGAGCAGCAGCAATGGTTCGGCCATGGTGTGTGTCTCGGGCTCGGACTCGCGCGCTCCACTTGAGCATGAGACGCGGGAGCAGCTCGCAATCGGAGAGGGTGTTGGGGCGGGAGCGGAGGAGGGGGAGGGGGAGGGAAGAGGAGGAGGAAGGAGGAGGATGAGGCGAAGGAGAAGGAGAAGAAGAAGAAGAATAGGGCGGAGGGGATTGCTTGGGTTGGATGGAGGGCGATGCTGGAGGAGAGAAACACGGTGACATTGGCGCATGCGTTGCTTTCCGTCGTGGGCAAGAGGCGTCTTGAGAGCAGGGATGGCGGGCGGCCCGTGCATGATGATCGATTTCCATCTGGACCTCGACCTGGGACGCGACAAGTCATTATGGGGCCGCCCAGCGTTTCTCTCCTGCATGCAACTGCCCGGCCCTGCCCTGTCCTGCCCAGTCCTGGCCTGCCCACCCGCCTGCAGTAGGCGCAGAGTAGCAGCAGCACCAGCACCATGGTGGAGACGGCTATCTCTGCAACTTATCATGTACGTATACCTCCATCCAGCCATACATACAATAGGGTAGTAGTAGTATACTACTCTACTTGCTTTGCCCCGTCGTCCGGTACATGGCACGCCAGCCCACCAGCACGCAGCCCACCCGGCCAGCCCAGGGCCCGCCAACCACGCCATAACCTCACGGCCCTTTGCTGCTGGTGCTGGTACTGGTGCTGCTAGTACTCTACTCTGCTTACTGCCATTGCTGCTGCTCCCACGGCTTCGCTACTGCTGCCCGCCCTGTGCTTCACCGTCTGTCTTCGCGCTGCCGCACCACTGCCACCACCACCCCTCCACTACTTTCCCCCCTCGCCTCGCCCCGACTCGCCTTCTGGCACCGCGTGCAGAAACAGACTAGCATAGGATAGCACGCCCCAGATGAGCGCCGAACACCGTCGCGCGCCAGCCATGTCGTCGCCCAAGATACCGCCTGCGCCGCCGCTGCCTCTGCCCAAGAGGCCGCGCTCGTACTTTGAGCGCTTCGTTGCCCAGCCGCTGACGACGGCCTACTCGTCGCGGCCCCCGAGCGTGCAGCCCGACGGCGCCCGGCTGCCGAATCCTCTGGTGCCGAAAGTTCCCGGGTAAGTGTCGCAAACGGCTGTGTATGCATGGGCTGGATGGGCTGGATGGGCTGGCCGGCTGGATGACTGGCTGGCTGGCTGGCTGGCTGGCTGGCTGGCCTGTCTTCTCCCTACTCTCCGTCCCATACTACCTACGTACATACTCCACCCTGCCTGCCCCTCTAGTCGCCGTGCCCGTAATCCCCTCCTGCCCGCCTCCCATTGGCCGCCTGCCCCTGCCTGCCCCTGCCCCCGTTGCGCCTTCCTGCTTTGGGCCCCTGCACATGTCAAATGGATGGCTATGTGTAGATGCTTGGCCGCTGTTGCTTCCTCGTCCCCCACCACTTGCACTTGCACTTGCCTCTCGCCCTGCTCCATGTCCGCCTCCATGTCCATGTCCATGTACTACATACACATATACATGCACATGTACCTACACTCATCTCTCCGACCATGCCGCTGAGTGCTTCTGCAGTGTCCGCACAGGCTATTCGCAGCATGCAAGCCACAAGACGGGCCTCGACATTTCGGCCCTCGACATCAACCGCGAGCGCACCCATGCCGTCCTCGCCGGTAAAGAGCTGCTCAAGACGGTCCGCGTCCAAGATGCCCGCATCGTCGACGAGACCAATCTGCGTGCTGCCGTCCTCAACTATGCAGACTCGCACGCCCGCCAGCGCGAGGGCCTGGGCATCCACGATGTCAAGTGGTCCCATGGCCAGTTCAGCTCGCATATAGCCACGGCTGCTGCAAATGGCAAGGTCATCCTCTATGACCTCAACCGTGCCAGCGTAGAACTTACCCGTCTGCATGAGCACACCCGTCAGGTACACAAGCTTGCATTCAACCCCCACCAGGGGCACCTGTTACTCTCCGCAAGCCATGACTCCACCGTCCGCCTGTGGGACTTGCGCGACATGCGCAGGGACGCCACCATCTGTCCCAGCAGAGACCAGTACCATGGCATGAATGGCGGCATTCGCGATGTCCAATGGTCTCCCACTGACGCTGTAGAGTTTGCCTTTGGCACAGACAACGGCACTATCCAGCGCTGGGACTTTCGCTATACCAAAGGCCCTAAGCAAAAGATCACTGCCCACGACCAGCGCATCTGCACCTCCATCGACTGGCATCCAGACGGTAAGCATCTCCTCAGCGCCGGCGTCGACCGCACCGTCAAGGTCTGGGACTTCTCCATTACTGGCCGCCGCCAGAAAGCCGCCCATGTCCTGCACACGCCCTTTGCCGTCTACAAGGCGCGCTGGCGGCCACCATCTTGGTCCGATGACCACGACGACAAAGGCGTCTATCAGTGCACACAGATTGCCACATCATATGATCGCGAACATCCAGCCATCCATGTCTGGGACTTTCGTCGCCCCTTCTTGCCCTTTAGGGACATCAATTGTTTCTCCACTGCGCCATCCGACATGCTTTGGCACTCGCGTGACACACTATGGACTGTTGGCAAGGAAGGCATCTTCCAGCAAAATGATGTCCACCATGCCCCCAAAACTATTGATCGTCGCAACCTGCAGGCCTTTGCCATATCACCTACCGGCGAGATTGGCGCAGTCGCCCAGAAGAGGTCACACCCGCGCTCCTCTGCGGGTCTAGCCTACGTGGACGACGCTTACCTTGGCGAAACCCGTGATAGGCGTCATAGCTCTGGAAAGGCAAGCCTTCGAAACTCGGCAGACGACAGCCTAGATGATAGCTTTCTTGCCTCTGCCATGAAGCGCCATCACGTGCGCGCTGCCAGTAACAGGTCGACCAAATCGTTTAGTACAACTCCACCTTCTGACGTTGGTCCCAAGGTCATGCTCTTGAGTGACTCCATGGTAGTGCACAGCGATTCCCTCAGGCCAAATCAGACTGCCATTCGAGGTCTCTTGCCTGGTACAACCAATACTCAAATCTTTGCCTATCTTGCTCAAAAATACAAAAACATAGCCCTGCCTGACCCTCCAGATCTCGACTCTTTTCTTCGCCTGGAAAGAGTCTTTGAGCAGAATGCCGAATACGCACAGCGTGCAGCAATGTACCGGCTCGCTCAGTCATGGAGGATCATGGGAGCGTCCATTGCCGTAGCGACACGGCACCGAGCAGAGTTACACAGACAGCAAAGAAGGTTGCGCCCGCAGGTCACCGCCCTGCGGCTATCCAACAAAATGCTCGAGCCGTCGTCTGCGCCCATGGAAGCCCATGACAAGCGGCTGGCGGCGGCAGCATCCGTAAATCCTGCCGTGCGCGCCATTCTCGGTACCTTGGAGAAACCGGCACCGCCAGCCAGACCACCCACCACGATGATAGAGAGCACCTCCAATATATCAACACCTCTTGCTCGTCCCGTGAGGACCGGCTTTGGTAATGACACAAAAAGGCCTGACCTTCTTGACATTGATAAAGAGGACATGGTTCAACTGCCACCAGCAATCACTGCAACGCCTACCCAGACAAGTAGCGCACTTGTGCCTCCACATAAAACGTTCAGCAGCCCCCAGTGGTACCACTCTGGTGATGGCATTGACGAGCGTCGCGCCTTGAGTGGCAGCTACAGGGCATCGCCTCGAATTCCTCTGAGTCTCACACCGAGCAGCGTGCAAGGCATGACAATCAACGCACCTCGTTCAATAGAGCGTCATGACTCTGGGGAAAGTTTTGCCATGTTCTCGGCCTCTTCGGATTCCCAAAAGGGAAACTCTCTGCCCAGTTCATTTGCAAGCGGTAATTCGCAATCAAATCGGGAAAAGCTGTCATCAGAGGATTGGGACGCTGTCCCGGAACACTCTAGCTTTGGAAAGCCTAGAAACTCTAAAGATGAAGATCTAGGTAAAAGCGTGCCGATATCTCCAACCACTATTCCTATTGGTGGAAACGGCTCTCTGAATCGGCAGCATACCGAAGGCCCCGCAGGCAAAGGAATGAACCATGTTGATCAATCTGACAATGGAGAAACGGTCGTTCGTGACATGGAGAACCTGCGACGAAACAATCAACTGCTTCGTCAGGACAGTTCAGATTCCGAGGCACTCACCAGCATCTATTCATCCTCGTATGACTACAATATAGACATGGAGGCAAGCGGGACAATTGTGCCTGATGTGGATGATATGCGATCGCCTCATGTCCCAAAGCCGCCGCCGAATTTGCCACATGCATCTGGAAGCGCGCCCCCGGTACTGGATCCAGCCATGGAAGATGGTTTGTTACTGTCCGACTTCACGGCCATGCATGTCGATGCAGAAGCAGGATCGCCCTATTCCGTCATTGCCTTGCTGAATAGCGTTCTTGCATATCATACAAAAGCGTCGGATGCGCAGTTTCCTTCGATTCTGCTTCTCCTTCTCCAACCGCTCCTTCCGCAGACACAAAGTCCAAGAGATGACCCTGGTGCAAATGTAGGCGATGTCCTCAACGCCTTTGCAGATACTTTTGTGGCTCTTGGGCTCAGTCCAGCACAGGCAAAGGCCATTCTCTCGACACAGTTGAGTCAGCTTATAGCCACAGGGATCAATCCTTATCAAGCAGAGTCTATTCTTCATACCTACCACTCACAACTGCACTCGCTATCATTGTTCAACTCTGCGGCTACACTACGCAGGCTAGCCTATCCCGCCTATCCCGCCGTGTACGAACAAGCGCTCAAAGAAACACAGCTAGGATTGTTGTGCCTGAGCTGCAAGTCACCAATCAACAATACCAAAGACAAGATGCGATGTGAGTCGTGTAAGCGAACACAGGCGCCATGCCCAATTTGCTGGGCCAAGTATCCCGCCTTTGAGCCGCTTACCGCAAAAAAGACCAAGTCAAAGTTTCGTTCTAATCTGAAGGACCGAGGACATAAGCGGCAACGATCGTCTCTTGCTTCGGGCCAAAACCTTGGGGACGATCGTGATGCTGTCGGACCATCACCATTCGTCCCGACGGAGTGGTCTGCACCTACGGCCACGTTGTGGACGTGGTGTCCGCTTTGTGGACATGGTGGACACGCGAATTGTCTTTCGACATGGTTTGCGGACCCAGTTTTATCAGAAGGTGCATGCCCAACCGAAGGTTGTCTCTGTGACTGCGTTCAGGGCACTCGGCGAGACGCAAAGATTGAAGAAATGCTGCTCAAGAAGGCAGAAAAGGACCGATCTAAACTGGTACGCAAAGGTGATGATTGGAAGGTGAAGGAGAGTAAAGCCGTCTCGGCAGTCCGGAATGCGGCTCTCGATACCATTCCAGATCATCCTCAGCATTCCGGCTCCGGGACCACGACGCCGACGCGCAGATAGTAGAATATACCATGAATCATCTAAATGCCTCAACCCTTGCCAAAGGGCGGAAATCAAGCGGTGGTACATAGTACACTGGCCGGCCCGTTTCTCGCTCAGGCCCGCTACCTCTACATATTACCTAGTACATGAATGCAGCGGTCTCATCGCTCCACAAGAAGCGATTTTTTTCCGCCCTATTTCTGGGGATCCTGGGAGCGGTCTGACATCATATCCCAGTTAAAGAGTGCATCATCAAGTTTTCCCATGCTGGAGTACCTTCCACGAAGCTGTCTGCAGTATGCATAATCACACCGCCTGTATGCGCGCCAAGGCATGCAGCACGCGCCCGCTTCCCCGGGTATGTGTGTATGCGTGGGTCCGCCACGTGTTTCTAGTAGCCGACCGGATGGTGCTGGGCTTTCCGCCAGCGTTCGCTGTAATGCTTGTCCGGGCTTATTCTACAGGTGACACCATTACGAAGCTAGGGAGACGGTCTCCGCGATTCAGCAATTGCTCAGCTCCAGCTGCGGGACTATAACCCACAGGACACGCCAAAGTTTGCGAATGGGTACAAACGACTACCCACCTCCTGCGGCCAGTTGTGGAGCCCTTTAGAAGACGTATTCTCGAGCATCTGGAAGCATGGCTGGTTGATGTCACCGGCTAGTCCCAGCCTGGTCACAGCAAAGGACCACAACTATGTCTAGCGTTGCTGCAGCCCTACCGATGCTTCATTTCATCCATTCATCCACTGTGCAGCATACATCAGGCCACTCGTATTCGTTGATGTAGTCGCAATTCAACACAAAGACAGTGCACAATGTACTATGCAGTGACTAAGAAATGACCAATTTGGCTGACAGGTGCGAGAAAAAAAGCAATTCATTGTCTGTGCTCGAGAACGAGTTCGGAAAACGGAGCAGGAGGTACGCGCACTGTCATGTACCGTGTTGACATGGCGATATCGGTCTTTGGCCTTATATGTATCTCAACAAAGCAGTTTTTACACTTGAAACATATGTGTGCGGTCGCCATGTGCGGAGTCCAAATACCGCGTCTATGGCACTTAACGACGTCTTAGTGTTCAGGTAAGCATACGTGAGAACGGACATATGTATAGTTACATGCCGTAACACCAATTCGACTCCTGCTCCTACGCCACACATCAGAAAAAGTAAAACCAGCCGCAACAAAAGCAAGGAGATGAGCTAAGAGGAAATACTTGGCGCATATTCGTTAGGCAAACCTTACTGTAACCTCGCACACCTCCCATCACTACACCACCTAACATGTATCTAAATCAATAATGCCATCTCTCCAATAGTCCCAATTCAACACGCACATCTCCCGTCCTCGACGCCCATTCTCCGCCATCTTCCCCTCCACCCTCCACATTCCTACCCGGATACCGATATCGCGCGCCATCGGCCCTACTATTGATCGGTGTGCTTACTGCACTTGTACAAGGGGAGGGAGGGGGGGGGGAAGGGAAAAACGGGTGACACCTCCCCCCCCCCTCTCCCCTCGTTATTCAAGCGCCCACACAACAAAAAGCCTCTCAACGCCTCTTCGGCTTACGTTACCCCAGTGTTCCCTGCGATATCAGTAATCCTGAGAAAGAAAGAAAAATTTCCACCAAGTCTATGTACATTGTTACATGCATTTCCAACTTAACCTTTTTGCTTTCCCTTCGGGCGGCGGGCGGGGGCTTTTTTGGGGGGGGGGGNGGGGTTTAGCGAAAGAATACAGTTTTTTTTTCCATCGGTCCGTATATGTATGTATGGTCTTGAATTGAGTTTTTTTCTTTGGGCTCTGGTCTGTGAGTTTTCCTCGTATCGTCGTACCTTGATTTTTACCCATGTATTCTGGAAATCCAATAACATGGATGCGGCGGCGGACACTAAGCGGAGGAGGACAAGATCGGACTGGTTGTACCCAGATCTCTCTCTCTCTCTCGCACCCGCTCTCCTGTTTTGCTCTTATGTCTTATTCATACTGTAGATTCTGGGAATTGCCAAGTTCAATATGTAGATATTCGCTACAAAACTATGTGACAAGCTTCCCAAAAAAGAAATAGAGATTGGTAATAGAACAAACATGTACTGTTTTGGCCTACTATTCCGCACAGAACCATTGGCTTGTCAGGACTTTCATCTCGTCGTGTTTCTCGCACCCCTCCCCCCGCTCATTCTCTAGCTGCAGAATGTAAACAAAAGTCTAGACCACATCCCCCCCTCTCGTCTTTCTCGACATGGTAATCTTGGCCTCGTCAAACGTTACACGACAGCTCTCGCCCGCTCGGCTGCGCGGCATGAGGCATGCAGTTGCATAAGTGGCAAGTGTATACATGCGCTTACGCTTGGCCTGAGGAGCGGGGACATGACGGCGGGGGGCAGGGAGAGGCACAGAGCTGCCGTTTAGGCGAGGTGTGGTGGGGTAGTTAGGCTGCTTCTTGTTATTTTTGTGTGGTTATTTTTGAAAGAGAGGAAGGAAGAGAGAGAGAGAGAGAGAGAGAAATGGAGATACGAACTGGCCAACACGAATGAGCAGGTGGAATGCTGCATTGCTGATCTCTGCTTATCACTTCGTGTGATTCTTTTGTGGTGCAACATCAC